TTTGTACCTATAAAAGGCCTCTCAAGCCTTCAATCTTGCTCACCAGATCACGCATGTTACTCACCAACCAAACAAACGAGTCTGACCGCTTGCACTAATCCCAATCCATGGCGACTGCTTCTGCGTAAGAATCTCCTCCTGCTTTCTCTATATTCTGCAACTTGCTGCTTGCTGTTTTAGTGAGTTCCCTAATTTTCCGTTTGTTTTCCAAATGGGAAGTTTGGATAAGAGCGTACCAGAGAAATTGCCCCCACCATTGGATGCTACTGCAGAGCAACCTCCACTCTTTGATGGAACTACCAAGTTTGTTTTCTTTATTTCTTTCTTTCCCTTTCGCGTTGTGTTTGATTGATAGTACATCGTAAGAATCTTGTTTCTAAAATTAGCTGTTGTGCTGTGTTTAAGATTGTATACATGCTACACGTGTCCATTTGCCCAGCGAGTTTGGATCACCAGGAACTTCAAGGTATCTTTTGCATTTCATCATCATCATCTTCAGTTATATCAAGGATGCTTATTTTTTTTATTTTTTTAATCTTTAATTTTTCGATGGATTCAGGGATTACAAGATGAGATTAAGTTAGTTCCTCTAATCCTTCAAAATAGGCCTGCTTGGTATCCAGAGAAAGTTTACCCTCCAAATAAGGTCAATATTCTTATTCTTACTGCTCCATTAGTGCTTCCTTCTATCATCACCCTGTCACTCATACCCTATTGATCAAGAATTAATACACAATTGTTTACTCTTCTTTTTATTTTTGTAGTATCAGTCTAGCATGCTTCTATTTCGTCAGGTTGTTTGTAATGGTGGCAGTGCTAATCTACACATATATAGGTCAGGAATTAAAATGGCGTGGACATAAAGCTGATGAATTACTGAGTTTAGCCTGATAAAATTACGTACTGAGTTGTTGCTCTTCGTATCTTACATGAATTTTCCATTGAAAACTCCTGCAACTTTGTTGTCATTTTTGGATACGTGAAGATTTTGGATAACTGGTGTTAGTACTAATATGATACCTAGTTACATCAAGTGCATATTGTCATTTGTTCAACCTATGCATTATTTATCATTTCTTGTTGGATTAGAAAACCCTTTTTGTTTATAGGTACCATCATTGGAACACAATGGCAAAATTACTGGGGAAAGTCTTGATTTGATTAAATATTTAGAAAGCAACTTTGAAGGACCTTCTCTTCTCCCCAAGGTAAGATGCAGATAATTCTGTTGCACTCTTGATGAAAACTCTCCTACAACTTAGACAGACAAAGTTAACAAAGAAAAGTTCTTCAGGATCCTGCTAAGAAAGAGTTTGCTGAAGAGTTGTTCTCCTACACTGATAAATTCAACGGTACAGTGTATACTTCATTCAAGGGAGACGTGGCGAAGGAAGCTGGTAAAATCCAGATATTCCTCTCTTTCTATGCCTAATGTTTTGTATGCAAACTGGATTAACTTTAATCATTAACTTGCATCAGGTCCTGCTTTTGATCACTTAGAAAATGCTCTGCATAAATTTGATGATGGGCCATTCTTCCTTGGCAAAGAATTCAGTTTGGTATGTTTTAATTTAATATTACTAGAGCCTGAACCTATTCTATTTGTTGAATCGTTCACTTTATAGCACAATCACGGTGCAATCTTATTTTTTAATTCAGAAATATGTGGGATGGTTGACCATTGCCTTACGACATTATTTGAGTGTGTCAGTTATATGTTTAAAAATCATTTGTTCTCAGGTGGACATAGCCTATATCCCATTTGTTGAAAGATTCAATATCTTCTTGCTAGAAGTTTTTAAGTATGATATCACTGCCGGCAGACAAAAACTGGCAGCTTGGATTGAGGTAATTTTGAATCTATTTTCTACCAGGTCATCCAATCATTAATTTAGTTATTCTTTGCCGAAGAAGTTTATTTTATCCATCCATTTGATACCACTTTGGGAATCTTTTGCTTCAAGTGTTTACTTCTCTTTTTTTTACCAGGTCATCCAATCATTAATTTAGTTATTCTTTAACAAGATAGTTTATTTTATCCATCCATTTGATATTATATGTTCAGCTCCACTCTGGGAATCTTTAGCTTCAAGTGTTTGCTTCTTTTTTTTTTTTTACCAGGTCATCCAATCATTAATTTAGTTATTCTTTGCAAAGATAGTTTATTTTATCCATCCATTTGATATTATATGTTTAGCTCCACTCTGGGAATCGTTAGCTTCAAGTGTTTGCTTCTTCTTTTTTTTACCAGGTCATCCAATCATTAATTTAGTTATTCTTTGCCGAGATTGTTTGTTTTATCCATCCATTTGATATTGTATGGCTAACTCCGCTCTGGGAATCTTTTGCTTCAAGTGTTTGCTTTTATTTTTATATTTTTAATTCGATCCGTGTCTCATGTTCTTGCACTTTGTTCCTCCCTGGAGTGCCTGGTTCTGTACCCTTGCCATACCCACCGTTTCTTCTTCTTCTTTTGGTCTAAAGATACCCTCTGCTTGTAGTAGTTTTGCTGGATCTTCAATCTTGCATGACTGGGATCATGTATAGTTATTGTTTTGGCATCATCTATAGTGTCCACTTCTTAAGCTTATGATGAGCAATCATTTTCTGTTGAGCAACTGAGCATTGGAGCTAGATTTTCTAGTACACCCTGTCCTGAACCAGTATTCCATATGCAGGAGGTGAACAAGATTGAGGCTTACAAGCAGACAAAAACTGATCCAAAAGAGCTGGTTGAATTTTTCAAGAAGCGCTTTTTGGTAAAGCACCAAAGTCATCTTGATATACTTATAGCATCTATTCATTTTTTCCCTCCAAATTAATGTTGGCTGTGGTTAAGTAACCATTCTCCTCTTTATCATTGCTCTGCAGGCTTAGATTTTAAAATGCCACTGTGATGAATAAGGGCCCAGGTGTCTCATAGTTGAATAAGATTGGTTGTGTTTGTACACTCGAGGTGCAAATGTCCACTGGTTGCGCATCATGGTCGGGTCTCCGTGGATAGTCTACTTACAGCTCTAGTAAATAATAGAAGTTGAAGCTCTCTGGGCTTTTCCAGCAGCCAGGTTTATGTTAATTTGGTGACTGTATGTATCGGGGGCTTTGTAAGTTTCTGTTGCTTTGAGTTCAAGGGTCATGCCTTGTTTAGTGTGCTCGCTATACTTTCAAGATTGTCTTGCTTTAGCACCTATTATGGGCACTATTGTAGAGATGCTGACAGCATCTCTATTTAATAGAATTTATGTTGTCTCTCTCTCTCTCTCTCTAAAATCAATTATTGAAGACTTTCGCCTCGCAGATACAAATGCCATGGCCCGTTTAAACTGACGGTGCCTGATAATATATCAGTTTGGGACCAAATAAATGCAATGCCAATGGCAGGTGGTCGTGCAGGCAGGCACTGGCAATGATCGCCATTTCTTACCCTTCTCCTTGTCCTTTTGTAAAGATTTTGCATCTTTTTGTTATATTTTATATATTTACTGGTCCAAACTTATTCATTCAAGGTATTGGGTACAATTTGGTTTCAATAACCACAAAAAAAAAAAACATGACGTAGATAATACAAAATAAAATATGAAAAGAGTTTATTAAACTTACATATTTTTTTAAAAAATTGATAATTTTTTTTTTACTTTAGTTATATAGTAAATATTGTATTTAAAGACATATTCCCTTTGTATTTTTTGTTTTATAAATATAAAAATTTATTTTAAAAACAAGTTTATTTTTATATTTTTACATCTATTTCCATCTCTTGAACCAACAACATTTTTTTTCTTCGGTTATTTATATCACAAGACAGTTAACTACTAAACGCTACTTTATATTGCAAATCACAGGACAACTCTCTCCCTACATACATGATAATAGAATAAATTATATTTTTTTTATTTTTTAAAAATTATTTTTAATATTAGGACATTAAAATAATTTAAAAATACTAAAAATATATTAATTTAAAGTAAGTGAAAAAATAAAAATTTCAAATTAATTCATTAAATAAATTACTAAAGAAGCTAATGGCTAATAACAATAGTAACGGTAAATGTTATATTTGTTGATTTCTAAGCTGCTAATTCCATTCCTAATTATGATAACAGAAAAAATTGTAATTAATTAAAAAAAAAGAAAAAAAAAGGAGCGTTGTAAATGGATAGCTTTGAAAACCACTTAGAAAACGTTGCCATATACGTGTAGTAAATAGTAATGCCAATCAATAATAAATCAATAATTCATATGTTTTGGAAAGATTAAGTAAAAAAAAAAAAACATAACGGGATGAAAATTAGAAGTGCGGTGCCAAAATATTTCTTTAAATTTATTTTTTATTGCAGCACATTAATATGATTTTAAAATATAAAAATAATAATTTAAAATAAATTTTTTAAAATACAATTTAATAACATTTCCAGACAGTCACTAAAATACAAATGCAATGCAGTGGGTGAGGTATTGGCAGTGATATGCTTTCCTATCTTCTAATAAAGGAAATATAATTGACGTCAATGCCACTTTTGTTTTATTACTAGATTAGTTTTGCTCATGCGTCATCATGGGCTGTATAATTTTTTTTTAATGTAAAAAAAGTGATAGATTAAAAAAAATCATGTTCCAAGTAATTAAATTATAAATTTAAATAACACCATAAAAAAGCAATAACAATAAAAAAAATTAACTTAAAAATAATAAAAAAATTACACTTGAATCTATTTGGGATTATAAAACAATTTAATATTAATCTAATTAAAAAAATCAGAAATTTTTTTTATCTTAAACAAAAAAATAGAAAATATCAATTAAAAAAATAAACAAATTTAGATGAACTCCTTAAACCTAATTTAATATAAAAAATTTATAATTTGTTAAACCCGACTTCAATTAAAAAATTTAAATATAATTTCATTTAATTTGAAAAAATTAATTCATTAAAAAAATTATTAATAAAAAATCTTATAAAAAAAAAGAAGCTAAAATCTACAAGAAAAAAATAAAAAAATTGAACCAATCAAACTCCTATGCTATAAGCCTCCTCCACTGGAGATTCATGATTTTGGCTCCAAAATATTGAAAAGAAACATCCACAATGTTTGCCAGGGAAACATCCATTATACCACCAAACTTCTAGTCGTTAGAGCATTGAGCTCTGTATTCTGTCAACGATATTAAGAGGAAAGGTTGCTGCGCTCCCAGCAAGTCCACAGATGAGAGACATAAATAGAGCCTGGACACTTATGGAAGGTGAGTCAGAAATGATTGTGATAGAGATGGGCTCCCCACAGCCCTAAACGACACGTCGTGGAATGTGCAAACAGGGGGGGGTGGTGTCACAGTCAACCAAGTTGAGTTGGTGGTGTTTATCTATTGTGGATTAAATGCCACGTCCTTTTACCCGCCTAAGCGAACACAGCACGTCGCAATCGATTCTGTAACGACCAGGTCAGGCCAGAACAGAGCCAACAGCGGCTTCAAAACAAGCAGCTCACGATATAACAAGTCATGTATAGCAGCAGGAGAGGACGAGGCAAGATTCTAAGTAAATCAAGGAAACATCCTTAGATCTCGACAAATCATAACAAACCCGAAGATGATGGAGAAGAACTTCAATCTCCTCCACATTATCCAACACAGAAGGTACTACAACAACGAACACTTCTCTTGTTTCCACGTGTCGTTTGATGCTTATCTCTCTCAAAATTCTTTGAAATGTTCTGGTTTTATTTTTTTTGCTCTCTCGAATCTCATAGCTGACGGTGTTGCATGCCTATAACAGTCTAGATTGATCCCTTTTTAAAAAAAGAAATTCGGATGCTTTAATGATAGTGAATGAAATGCCTAGTTGGTTTTTCAAGAAACTGTGAGGGTGATATGTAGAGATTATCATGAGAGGTGTAAAATTGTGATACTGGTACGTTTAAATGAAAAGAGAGAGCTATGGGAAGTAGGATTGGAATTATACGTGTGAAGGATGTTGTTGTCCTTGTTGAGTAGGCGTGCGTTGGAGGTTGAATCCAGGCAAGTTCAATTCCATTACATTCAAGGTTTCTTACATTCGTGTTTAAAGATCTTGTTTTTGGCAATATGTTGTCCCTTTGCTTTTTTAATGAATGAATTTGTTTGCATTGAGTGTTTGCATTTTCTCCGAAATGGGGATTTTCGATGACTGATTTGGGGGCATTTGAGAATGAAGAAATTGTTGTTGATGATGTCAACAGGGACGGCTATGGATTTGCTTTAAGACCTCAACACATACAAAGATATCGAGAGTACGCAAATATCTATAAGGTATGGCAGACACATATTAAGAAATTTTCTCAAATCAAGATGTTTAGCGTAAGTGATTGGCGTGGATTATTTTTAGAATCATTGACCTTGTATCGAGAATTGATAAAATGATATGTTTGGAAAGCAAATGGTATTAGACAGTTGCAATTTCTTTCTAATTTCTGGTGTAAAGAAACATTAGTTTCTCATCAGTAAATTGAGGATGTGGAATCTATATATATATATATATATATTATCCTCTTGTTTGTTCAAATGTTTCTTCAGTTCTTATTTTGCTGAATTTGTGTCACCGAGTATTGTGGAGTGTTGAGTATAAGACAGTGAAAGCAATTGTAAAATTAAAGAGTTAAAAGGTGTTTTCACTCCAACACAGTAGTGCTTTCATGGTATCAGGAGGAGGAAGAGGAAAGGTCATATAAATGGAACAACTTCATTGAACAGCAAGCAAAATCTAATCATTCTAGCTCTGCCGAGGAGGACTGTAGAGAGAACTTGCAGGCTGAGGCTGATGAATTGAGAGAAGAGACTGTTTTCAAAAGGGGCCGGGAGGAGGATGATTCAAGTGACAAGAATTCAGATTCTGATGGTTCAACCAAAAGTTATCCTGGGAAAGAGGTCAAACTTTCAGGGCAACCTGAGAAGGAGGTGCAACTTTCAGAGGAACCAGAGAAGGAGGTGCAACGATCAGAGCAACCTGAGAAGGAGGTGAAACATTCAGAGCAACCTGAGAAGGAGGTACAACTTTCAGAGGAACCTAAGAAGGAGGTGCAAGCTTCACAAATACAAGAAAGGGAGACACTGCTTTCAAAAGAATCTGACAAGGAGGGGCAGCTTTTAAAAGAAACAAAGGCCAACAAGGTTCAATCGTGGTCTTGGACGAGACCATCTCTTCATGTTATTGAGAATATGATGAGTTCACGTGTTAAGAACATAAAGGATATGAAATACAGGCATAATACAATAAACGGAGACCATCTTCCATCTATAAAAAAGACAGGATCTTCAGGAGGATCCACTGTGGCGGAAATTGACAAGGAATTATGCATTAAAGAGACTTCTGATGATAATGTTGACAAATCCACAGGAGAAACCAACGTGGATAGTAAGGAGTCCCCAGAATCATTCTTTCCTTGGAAAGAGCTCGAGTTCCTCGTCCGTGGGGGAGTTCCAAAGGACCTCAGGGGAGAGGTAAATCTGACACTGTTGAGTTTATCAATGGACTTTTTAACTCCTTATATGCGCAAAAGTACATCTTCCATGTATGATTCTGACATTATAGGTGTGGCAAGCCTTTGTCGGTGTGAAGACACGTCGAGTGGAGAGATATTATGAGGGGCTGCTTGCCGAAGAAAGTAATACAGATGAAAGCAAGGAACACAATAACTCAAATGCTGCACCCAGAAAATGGAAAAAGCAGATTGAGAAGGTCATTAGATGCATGCACCTTGGATTTTATGGTTCAATCTTTTAAATTTGTAGGTTCCAATTCTTTTTCTTTGGGTTGCAATCAAGTTTTCTCCCTAGAATGATTTTTGTGTTTACTTTACAGGACCTACCACGAACTTTCCCAGGTCATCCTGCCTTGGATGAGCGTGGTAGGGATTCCTTGAGGCGTGTACTTGTTGCATATGCTCGACATAACCCTTCAGTGGGGTATTGTCAGGTAATTAGGATCTGACCAAGCCTTCTTTGTTAATTCTAACGATCCAAATAATACTTTGATTTTTTAGCTCAATCTTTTCTTTTTGGACCCAAAATTGTGTAGACATTTTTCTTTTGACTAATAACTACAGAATGAAGTCAAAGCCTAAACTCCATCACACTAACCAACTTTTGAGACAGCTATGCTAGTGTTATTTGTTAGATTAAATTTCTTTTAGTTTCTCTTTTCTCTCTCTCCAGCCCTCAATCTCCTTCTTTTCATTTGCCATTTCCTCTGCAGTTTCATTTTCTAATAACCAGTTCACTGTTCATTATGTTTTACTTTCTAGGTTTCTGGTAATTAAACGCTAGTGTCATAATTTTAAGTAATTGACGCTCAAGACCTCATAATTGAAAAAAAAAGATTTTTATGCGAAGCTTATCCTTGTTGTATGAAAGGAAGAAGTCATTGTTTTCTTGAAAAGAGATGAATTTGAAGGTTTTTGAACATATCAGGGTCTGATTTGCTCCAAACTAACTTTATTGGCAAGCCTTGGTTTTGTAAGTGATCAGGTTAGGTAATAGGCTGTACACCAGTCATAACAGGTTCGACTTGCTTCAACTGGCCATCCTTTTACCATATCCCCAATCCTTGAACTATCTTTATATATTGATTATCGTCTAATAGTGACCTTGGCTGTTTCTATTTTTGAGGGCAATTCTTAAGCCAAAGAAACAAGGGGGGGAAACTGATTTCTTGATTTGGATTGTCAACTGATATATTATTAAAACATTCCAGCAAGAACTATGACATCAAAATCTGCTACTTTGGTTGTCTGTTAACGTTGTATTTCTGCAGTTCTCGTTAAATGCAACTCATGTGATAGGCTTCTTTTAATATAATACAGACTGGTGTGATCTCTTTTATTACTTACCTTAATTAGTATGAAAACATTTGCAGGCAATGAATTTCTTTGCTGGCTTATTGCTCCTTCTGATGCCTGAAGAAAATGCCTTTTGGTAGGTTTGAGTAGCTCATTTCTTTCATCTATTGCTTTAAAGAAGGTACATGCTCTCTAAAGTAACCAGGGATAATTATTTAATAAAACATCTGAATGGGGCACTGTGAGTATGGAATGGAATTTAAATTGTTGGCTTTATATTTGGGACCCAAATTTCTTTTTTCCCCTTTTTCATTGGGAATGGACTTGAAAAGTTTTTGCATTTGTTTTACTTTATATGTTTCCTCCATTAATCTGCACGTGTATCCATGAAGCAAATTGACAACAAGCTAACTGTAGCCAAGTTAGTTTTAAGGACTGGCTTGTTTTGGTGGAACTTCTCAGGACTTTGGTGGGCATTCTTGATGACTATTTTGATGGCTACTATACGGAAGAAATGATAGAATCTCAGGTGATATTCATCAAGATTTTCTTAGGGACAGTTGTTGTTTTTGCCCTGGCATATATTTTGATGTTCATTCGATTCTGATAGATCCACTTTTCAAATTGGGGTTCTTTTCAGTTGTTTAATGTTGATTAAAAAAAAATTCTTTGTTTCATTAGGTGGACCAACTTGTTTTTGAGGAGTTGATACGTGAAAAATTTCCTAAATTGGGTTAGTCCATCTACAGAAGCTGTTATGTTGACAAGTATTGTGGTTCTGTTCTTACATTAAGCAGTATATATGGTTCTTTTATTCCTTTATGCTTCTGGTGCAGTTAATCATCTGGATTACTTGGGAGTGCAGGTGGCATGGATCTCTGGACCCTGGTTCCTCTCCATTTTCATCAATATGCTTCCCTGGGAAAGTGGTGAGCTTGGGTGGTTTCATATGGCATTGCATATTTTAAACCGAGTTTTGTTTCATGCTCTAGTTTTTCTTTATTCTCTTGTTTCAGATTGACTTGAATCTTTGCTGTTCCTTTTTTTTTTTTTTTCAGTTCTCCGAGTTTGGGATGTTCTTCTTTTTGAAGGAAATCGTGTAATGCTGTTTCAAACAGCTCTTGCTTTAATGGAGTTGTATGGTACTTGAATGCACACAGATACACTATGAGGACATATTTTATTTAAATTGTGAATCAGTGATCTTTTGAGAGTATTCAAGATGACATGATTCCAAGCCGTGTAATTTCTTGTAGGTCCAGCATTAGTTACAACTAAAGATGCTGGGGACGCGATCACTTTATTGCAATCACTTGCAGGGTCAACATTTGATAGCAGCCAGCTTGTTTTGACTGCTTGCATAGGTTATTTGGCTGTAACCGAAGCTAGATTACTACAGTTGAGAGAAAAGCATAGACCAGCTGTGCTTGTAGTAGTTGAGGAAAGATCAAAAGGGGGAAGAGTTTGGAAGGGTTCAAAAGGGCTTGCATCTAAGTTGTACAGTTTTAAGCATGATCCTGGATCACTAGTAGAAGAAAAAAAAGTAAGCGAGGGAGACAAGTCCTTACTGGAGTCTCACTCCTCTAATCTGGATGATTTGCTCAGTGGCTTAAGTGTTGACCAAGAAGTAGATTCTTTATCAGATCTTCAAGAACAGGTAATTTTTCTCTTCCTTCCTTCTTTGCACTGTAGTGCTGCTTTCCTGAGTTATGAAAGTCATCCACCTGATGCTAGATTCATGTTTGAAGATTCACAAATACCATCCTTTGGTGCTGCTTTATTTTGATGAATTTCTATCCGTGATAACTGACAATTTTTGTGCAATTATATTTTCCTGGTTAAAATTTCCAATTATATTTGCAAAAGTTATTTGAGGCTTAATAATGTTACTTGTGATTGTGGGGAAAATTCATGCAATTCACTTCCCTCTCATTTGAATTTCAGCAATTAACAGCTTTTGTGCAGGTGGTTTGGCTAAAGGTTGAGTTGTGCAGATTGATGGAGGAGAAAAGATCTGCCATACTCAGGTTAGTGCCTTCTAATTTCTGCAATCTTTTGGGATGCATTTTTACTTCTTCGCTGGATCATATTTGATGAAGAAAGCACTACAAAAATGAGATGCACATTGCAGGAGCCTATCTTTTGTCAAAAATTCATGGTTTACTTGCCTCTAATATTCTGCTTGAGTTTTTTTTCCTTTTCCAGAGCCGAGGAGCTTGAGACAGCACTAATGGAGATGGTCCAACAAGATAATCGACGACAATTGAGTGCAAAGGTATATTCAAAGTAGATTCAAACAACCCTTATTGCTTCTGAATGCATGACAAAATAGATACATGTTCTGGTATACATGCAAAGCACTTTCCTCCCTCTGCTCGTAAGTGTTTTGTGTTGTTTTTGGAATTTTTATTGAACCATTTACATAGATTTTCCCGACTTGTGTAGTTTGGTACCCTCAATTTGGTGTCATATTTTTACCTCTTTGATGGTAAACTAGCCAATTGACTTTTTGTATTCATGGAGCTCCAATTCATAAGACTTAAATTTGTCGTATATTCAAATTATAATTAGTATCACCCCATTCTAGTCTCCCACCATGTTTACTTGAATGGTTGATTGATGCAAAGCTGATAAATGAGAAGCCTGATATAAAAGGTCGTTATAAATGTCCACAATCTAGGAGCTAGTCATGAAGTCTATCCATTTTTTAGCCTCAAGCCACTCTACTTGCTGCGAAACTAAAATTTGTTCTGCAGGTTGAGCAGTTGGAGCAAGAGGTAGCTGATCTAAGGCAAGCCCTTGCCAATAAGAAAGAACAAGAAGCCGCAATGCTTAAGGTTAATATTTCCTAATATTTTTCCATGATTTCTAATTTTTTTAGTGAGTGAAAATACATACTCTTATCATGTGTTTATGGAAAAAGGAATCCTATTTTATATAATATTAGGAACTCATTTATATTATGTATAATATGTATATTATTCGTATTATCTGTAGGTCCTGATGCGGGTAGAGCAAGAACAGAAGATAACTGAAGAAGCTCGAATAGGGGCTGAGCAAGATGCAGCTGCACAAAGATATGCAGTAAATGTGCTTCAGGTTCTTGTTATACAAGATTACAATAGACCATAGATTTACATTTATGGAAATAAAGAGTGCTGAATTGTTTGTTGGGTTTTGAGAAAGCACGTATTTTATTTTTGAAGTTAAATTTCTAGAATACAGAGGCATGCCTTCTCCATCCTATCAAAATGAAATAGATCTTATCGAGAAGCTGATTACACTGGAAGGCTTATTTTCTGTCAAGCAGTTTTTTATCTTGGTCAGGGTCATGGTTTTATTCTATGATAATGTTCTTCATGTGATAACTCAGTTTGATTAAAAAGATAGAACTACTGTGCCGAACACAATTTTGGTAATTAAGGATTAAATTCATATCAGGAAGTCTTGAGCATAGATCAGAGCTTGAAATTAATTTCATTCTCCAGAGAACTTAGCATAATATTTATCTGGTCCTTCATCCAGTTTTTTTGAACTGTCACCCATTGCTGTGGGAAAAAAAAGAGAGAGAGCTATATGATGAGGTACGCTGGAACTTTTATCCAGGAGATTGTTCCATTTTTCTCTCCTTGCCAACATCGTTGTAGATCCAAGAACTCAGCATAATATGTCACTTTCTGTCTTTGAATTACACAACTATATTGGTTCACAATAAAGTTATGTGCGCAGGAAAAATATGAGAAGGCTATGGCTTCACTTGCTCAGATGGAACAGAGAGTGGTCATGGCTGAATCAATGTTAGAGGCTACCGTACAGTACCAGTCTGGCAAAGCTAAGGCACTATCTTCACCAAGGTACACGAGAAATATGTGTTTCTTATGAATATTTACTTCCTCATGGATAAGATCTAATAAGTTTTCATGATAGTCCTTTCAACAAATGTAGCCAACTGTCAATCACAGCATAAAAACGAAAAATCCTAAAAATTCTCGAAAGGTCCTGTGAATCAGGGTCGGGTTTTCTGGCAAGCTTAATATTTTCATGCGTGGACCGCAGCGGTACTGAGCGCACTTTATAAGCACGTTCCTAGTGCCATGAAATCCATTGATTCATCAAGTCGTACTTTTAGCTCCTATATTTCTTCACTTGCAAGTATATCCTTCTGCATTTTTTTTTTCTAACTCACTTACAGGTCAGTGAGCTCCTCTGTGGAAAGTCCCAGAAGAAGGATAGGCCTATTTGGCCTTGGCTGGCGTGACCGGAACAAGGTAAGTTTTTGCACATAAACAGTACACACCTGATTTCTTATGACTGTTAATGCTCAAAAAACAACCTCTAATCACACGGACAGAGAGAGAGGGAGAGAGAGAGAGAGAGAGGTTAAATCTACTTGTAAGCATTCACTACTAGAATTTCTATGGTGAAATATGCAAAAGACGAGAATCCTCCGCAATTTTGGACCTTTAACTGTGGAGTGTAACTTACCAATCTCATTGTCCCTCCGGGTTTTTTTTTTTTTCTTCTTCTTTTTCAGTCTAAGATTTTCCAATGGATAAAGCACCTAAGATAGTGTTTTGGATTGGAATAAGATTTTTCAATTGTTGTTTTTCAAAATATCTTTTTATTTAAAAATATATTAAAATAATTTTTTTATTTTTTAAAATTTATTTTTAACATTAGCCCATCAAAACAATTTAAAATTATATAAAAAAATTCAACAATTTTCAAGACCGATTTCTGAAAGAAAAAAAGAAACAGAGTCTTCATCGAGTTTAAGCCACAATGCATTGTGATTGTTTTCAATCTGACAGCTTAACATTTATAAAATTCGTATGGCAGGACAAAGACAAACCGACAAATGATGATTCTGGCACCAGTTAATCTAGCAATGAGGGGAAAAACTCGAGCACTTTGTAGAAAGGTAGAAACAACCAAGAAGAGGGGTAGGAGGGAATTAGGGGACGACTTTTACACCATTCATTCTCAGCAACATGGCACCTGTTGCTCAAGAACTCACTGATTTGTTGCTGTAATTATGCACGGACAGATGGGTCGGGGTAAAGGAGCCTTGTATCTGCATCGATGCCAAATCAAAATAATTAGACAATTCTTTGCCCTTACATGATGAATTTATATGTGCAAGAGTTGGCTGGTCCTGGTAGATCCGTTTTGCTCTCTGACATGTTTTTAAACCTTCATGAGACAAAAGATCCACTGTCGCGACAGATGCCGCATATGATGGTCGGTCTTGGGGCTGGAAAAAAAATGTTGAGATTTTGGCGCAAGGATGCTGTACGGATGCATTAAGATCATTAACATGTTTATTGTTTGTGATGCTACCTGCCACCACTTTTCATGTGAAACAAATGCTAATAGTTGCTGAGTTACATGTTGCCCTTGGCCATCTCAGATTGTTCCATTTTTTTACAGCTACAAGAAGATTGATGATAAGCATGACATGTTTTGAGAATGTGAATAACGCCCATCATCTGTTACCATGACATCAAAGCAACTGTTTTCTTTTTATAAAAAAAAACCCTTTCCATGAGAACATCAATCCACTATTGCAATATCATCGTGCTTCAAACTGTTTATTCGGAACGGGTCAGGGTCAAATACATGGCAGAGCTATACAGCCAGATATATTTATAGGATCACAACAACCCAGTGATTCAAACTGTTTATTCGGAACGGGTCAGGGTCAAATACATGGCAGAGCTATACAGCCAGATATATTTATAGGATCACAACAACCCAGGTTCCAGTATCTCCTGATAATAACTGGAGTAGGGAAACATGCTGATCTAGAATGATACAAAATTTGATAGGAAGGAAAAAAATGAGAAATGAGCTGACACTGGAACTCTAGAGCTTTTTGAGGTTGTGATCCACATGGATTCGAAAGGAGACTACTTACTCATAATACAATCCATTTAGCATCCATCAAGACTTTTCTTGGCAATAAGTCGGGCAAGAAGTCTGCTTGGAACTCTAAATCTCAGTTACTTTTGCACACAAGGATAAAGCAATGTTAATTTCCTCGTTTGATTTCTCTCAGATCCACTATCATTGAGTTTTACCACCCCTCTTTGCTCTAGGAGGAGGCGAGGCAGGGGGGTAGCGGGGTCTCTGGCCTGTATCTGCATCAGGGTCATATTTTTGAGAAGCAAGGTAAGTCAAAGCTGTGACAACATCAGCTATGACGGGGCGCATATTAGGCTGCTCTTGAACACACATCGCTGCAACAGCAAGAGCTTGGTACAAGCCCCTTGGAGGATACTGACCTTGAAGCATTGGATCAGCTATGTCTGAGAATTTTTTTCTGTCTTTGAACAAAGGTCTTGCCTGTAATAGAAGTAAAAGATCAAATACGCATAATCAAGCTGCAAATCACCACCTTCACACACAATTCTCATCAATGATAAGTGCACAAGATTTTTTTTTTTTTTTTTTTTGGGGGGGGGGGGGGTTTGGGAAATGGATTCCCAAGGATGGGATCAAATTTTTGGATTTCATGGTTAAAATTGGTGGTAGTTTCAGTGAACACTTGTTTACTGCAGGTAGAGTCCGGGTTTTTTTTTTTTTTCTTCAAAGTGCCTCTAGGTAATTACTGGCACAAGATAACTGCAAATTTTAATGTTGCCTTCAGCCTCTGTCAGGGTCATCATTAGTATCAAAACATTTAAAGCATTGTATTCACTAGCCATCCACCAGAAATTCAATGAAAAAAGAATCAACATCAGAGTGAAATTATAGAAAAAAGAGTGTAAAATTATACATGTGATGGGACCTCACCTAACAGTTTAAGTTTTTTAGTTGAGATGGTTTTTTGATATGGTATCAAAACTTCAATGACCAAACGGTCACGAGTTCGAATCTTACCATTTCTATTTATTTGATAAAAATTAAACATAAAATAATGTAGATCTATGCAAGTTTCAAGCCCAAAGAACTTTTATTTGAAGAGATGTGTTAAAAAATAATATAAATTATATCATGTGACCTCGACATGGTAAAGTCAAAGTTCATTTGTAATTTTGCATTGACATAACCTTTACCATCAGTTTTCTATGGCAAAAATATTAACATGTAGATGTTGTAGCCATATACCACAGACCACGGTGGCACAATTACAGAAATGTGAAGCAAGAGAAGTGCACACACTTGATTGACATGTTGATAACTCGCACTAAGAAGTGAATGAGATTCTAAATTATTTTTTATTGTAGTAGAAGAATATGCCAATATTATGAATAAATATTCTTATAACAATTAAAAAATTCCTAAACAATTTGTGTATATGAAAAAATACAAATCAAATAACAGATCAACCTATAAAACCATAATTATATAACTTTGAAGGATGAATTCACAATTAAAAATGTCCGATGGCTTAAACAGTAAAAAAAAAAAAAAAACAGAGAGCAATTTCACTGGTCATGTGAACCGTGAAAACAACCACGTGTCATTAAATATATTTACTAATAGTAATGGGATGCCTAGGATGTTAGTAAGTCTATCTATTTTATCTAGCCCGACTCACAAAATTAGCACCACAGCCTGTCTGCTTGGTTTTTATTGCGGCTGGCATAAATGTCAGTTGGATGGGTGGTGACCCCGATCATACTCCCACTCGAGGGAAGTACGATGGTGATGATGATATTCTGATTTCTCTAGACTTTGTACATAGCATATATTTGTTTTGACAGAACAATCAGTGATAGAGAACACCCTCTTAAGTGAATAATATTGTCTATAAAACCTTATACCAACCTCCCAGAACCAGTGACTGGTTGTGCAGGCTGATGAAATGATAATGGCAGGAAAAAATAAGGGATCATAGTTCTCAACAGGGCCAAGCAGGGTCTCAAATCTTATTCTTCAACAATAATAAAATGATAAAGTTAAGGATCCCGTACCCATGCAACCAGATTCTGCTCCCCTGTAGCTTTTGAATTGTCAATTGCCTTCCGCCCTGTAATGATTTCCAGTAGAACAACCCCAAAGCTATAAACATCTGATTTCAGAGTTAGTTGTCCAGTCATTGCATATTCTGGTGCACAGTATCCGTAGGTGCCCATAACTCTAGTAGATACATGGGTGTTATCCCCAACAGGACCCAGTTTAGCCAAGCCAAAATCTGATAGCTTGGGATGATAACCTTCATCAAGCAAAATATTGGAACATTTTAAATCTCGGTATATAACTGGGGGGCTAGCTTTATCATGCAAGTGCTCCAATCCTTTTGCTGCCCCAGCAGCTATTTTCATTCTTGTGTTCCAATCAAGCCAGTTCTTACCAGGTGGAACTTCTGCAAAAGACTCGATTCAGCCCAACAGCCAAATTAAAAAGTAGATACCAATAAAAAAGAACATAATGTATATACCATGTAGATGGTCCTCTAAAGATCCTAGAGGCATGTATTCATAAACCAAAAGCCTTTGATCTCCATCAGCGCAATAACCAATTAGATTAACAAGGTTAGGGTGGTGAAGTAGACTTAACATCAACACTTCAACTAGGAACTCCCTGTTCCCTTGCAAACCATTTCGATTAAGTTGCTTGATGGCCACAACCTGCACCAAAGAAAAAGGAGAGATTCACCTTTCACCATACATATCATATTCATGATAGAAGCCCCATTTTTTTTAACGAGTTAATAATCAAATCTCACACGCTAAGCTTCTATAAGAATTGTGCATGTGGGATCCAACAAATAGCTTTTAGAAGAAATAATAAGAACCATTAGATTAGCAGCACGAATTAGAATATGCAAGACTTACACGCTGCTTGGAAATCTGACTCGTTCTCTACATAAAGTAAGAAGTTGACCAACCTGATTAGTGCTTTCCAGATATCCTTTATACACTCTTCCAAAACCTCCCTCACCTAAAAGACATTCCGCTCTAAAGTTTTTAGTTGCAATTGCCAATTCACGGAATGTAAAAGTCTGTGCTGTAGTGCTATCAGACCCTCCATTTTTAGACTCCCCCTTAACACGCAAAGGGTAATCATTCCTCAATCTCTCTGCAAATGCAAACGGGGGAGAAAAGGATGAAGACAATAAATGATTTGGAAAGTGTCAAAGTAGGGTTTCCACCAATAGAGGAAACCAAACCACAACCATCAACAGCTCAAAAGCAAACACGTATTAGGAGAAGCAAACATCAACAAGCAAATGAATTCTTGTAATGATCCAAAGAAAACAAAAATTTATAAACATTACTGTCCCTGTTCACAAGGCAACAGCAAACAATCTTAGCACCCACTCATCCTCACAATGGAACTCGTAATTTGTGATCTAAAATAAAATCAAGTCCATGTAGAATAAAAAACGCGAGGATCCATGAAACCATAGTACTTCGTAGGTATGGGAAAACACAGAAATATAATGAATTAGTGATTGCTAAAACAAGTTAAGCTATTAAGAGCTGTCTGAAAGTTATCATTAAGATTTAGTTTATTGGCTAGAAACACTTGCAATTATAAAACAAAGTACAATCTTTAGAATGAAAAACAAAGTAACGTTATCGAACAAACGAGTGAATGGTCAATCACCGAACGTTCTTAGACTTTGGTCAGAACAAGGAGACAAAATCTCTGATCAATTAAGAAGACACCCAGATAAGAAAAGGCAAAAAAAATTCATAATCAATAAAAAATAAATAACCAAATCCTAGTATATTCAGAAAATCATAAGAAAAACCCGAAGTACAAGATTCAAAGACAAACCTGGAGAGGTTTTGGTCTGATCAAGTGGTTTCTGGTTCACGATCACCCTATTCTTGTTGTTGTTGTTGTTTTTCTTGTTCTTTGTAGCCCGCCTTGATATACCAGAACATGGTATCCATTCCATTGCTCTCTCTCAAACCTATCACTCTCTATCTACACAGTTTAAGCACTAGCTAAAGATAATTCAAGTGACTTTACTGATTGATACACAGTGGCCACGGACGTTGATGATATGGAGAGAGAAGTTGAAGAAGCCCAACAAGCGCGCTCTCTCTGTCCGTGCTCTTTTCTTTTTCATATTTGGTGATTGGTGGAAACGGTATTGTTTGGGCCATATTCTTACGAAACGGTAGCGTTTTCAAGGGGATATCACGGTCTACTGATCACGGGTCCCACGAGGATCGAATATTCCTTTGTCAGGTCTGTCAGTCGATAAAAATGGACGGTTTAGATGAGAGGTTTGTGCAAGCGTGTGATGCAGGGGTATGGAAGTAAAAAAGGAGGATGCATTTACTTTTATTTCGTTTCAGTAATAAGCAGGCTGCTGACGGCTTCATCCGTTCATCGAACCCCACCTTTTTGTTTCAATTCTGGCTGGCATATTTTGTTCTAGTAAAAAAATAATAATAATAAATAAATTAAATAAATCTCATTTTGTTCAAAATCTTAGTTTATTCCAAAATTCTGCCTACAGTATTCGTGGTTTTTTTAGATATTTTTTTAATTTTAATATTTAACAATATGTTTATTATGAATTAAATTAAATTTAACAATATCATAATTTTATAACCCAAATTACAAATTTAAAAAATTAATCCATTAAAATTAATTTAATATTTTTAAAAATATATATGAACTTTAACTTTTTTTTATTCAAACTATATTACTTTTTCCGTCTTCGTGTAGTTTGTTTCAAGAATAGAATTAAAACCACTCCCTCTTTGTTTTTATTTAGAAAGTCATGTCATGAAAAGAGATAAAGAGAAGGGGTGGGGTCGTCGTCGTCGTCGTCGTCTTCTTCTTCTTCTAACCTAATTCAAAATAATTGTTTATGAAAAAGAAAAACCTTTTTTGTGTGCCAAATGGTTGGATTCAAAGTGTAAGACAGGCACGTCCTACAATACGTGACAGCCAACGAAAGCACTTCTTTCTAAGAACAGGATCCGGCCGGCGGGAGGACGGGCAGGCAGCGTCCACATCACGGACACTTCACAGGTTTTTAATATTAACAATCCTTGACTTGGTTTTGCCCCAAAACATGATCCAGCTCTCTCTCTCTCTCTCTCTCTCTCTACACTGTCCCGCTGGGACCACGATAGAGATCTTTGATATTTCGATAACAAAATATTAAAAACAACCGTGAAATTGCTGTGGATTAAAGCAGTCTTTTTTTAAAATATATCATTTTCATCTCCAAAGTTTGTTTTCTCGGATGAGTCTTTAAATTGCAAAATTAAAGGATAATTAGTTTAATCCTCTAATTTTTCAAATGACACTTTTAGTCACTGTCTTTTTTGAAATTTAATTTTGATACAGGATTTAATTTTTACTAATTTTTAGTTTCTAGTTTAAAAAAATGGTTTTTAAATTCCAATAATAACAAAAATTTTGCTTGACATCATTTTTAATTATTAAAATAATTAATTTTAGTTTTAAATAATTCTCTTTAATAAAAAAATTACATTAAAGAGTTTTCTTTATTAATATTGTCTAAAATAATAAATCTAAACTTGAAATGTTTTTTAAATTGTAGTTGATATTTTATTTTTTCATTAAATTTCGAGTTGTTTAAAAATATAAATTGATCAAAGCCTCTAAAGTACTTTTTGAATGTTTCTGAGGAAACAAAATTGGTTAAAAATCAAAGTTTTAGATAAAAAAAAACTTATGTCTTGTTTTCAGAGACATCTCCAATCACTTGATTCTAATAAATGTCTTATTGTTTATTTTTTAAATTTTTTTAAAAAATAAAAATACTTTTTAAATATTTTTGAGCAAACAAAATTAGTTGAAGTTTTCATCGCATTATTTATCCTTTTAAATTTTAAAATATAAAAGTTTGTGGGCTAAACCTTTTATTGATGAGTTACCCCTTTAAAAATATATTTTATTATTTTTATTTTATTTATTTTATTTTTTTATATTTTATCATCAATAATCTATTTCTTCATTGTTTATCTTGTTAAATTTTTTTAAAAATAAAAAATCTAAAATATAGACTAGGCCTTTTATTGATGTGCCACCCTCCTAAAAAAAATATTTTATCTTTTTTATTTTATTTTTTTATTATTTATTTATATTTTATCATCAATGATCTATTTCTTCATTCAAACTTAAAATGAAAAAAAAATTGTTATTTTATTTAAAATAATTAGGCTTATTTTTTCTATTTTAATCTCATATATATGATTTAATTATTTTTTTTGAAAAAAAATATCTTATATAAAAAAATTTCATTCTCTTTATATGAACAAATAAAAAATATTTTTAAATATAAAAAATAAATTTAAATCTAAAAAAGACATAGTTATAAGTTTAATTTGTTAAAACAAAATTTACGTGAATTATTTTTTTAATTGAATATTATTTTTTATTATTTTTTTAATATTAAATTAATTAGAAATTTAGTTTTTAAATTATTTTTCAGTATTATCCTCATAAATTTTACAGAGATTAACTTGAATTAAGATAAACCTCATATATTATTTTTTTAATATTAAATGAAAATACTGTTTAGTGTCAAGCCATCATTCCAGCAACGCAGCCATAAAAAGCGTTGAAGTTTTTTCCCAACTTTAGCAATGATCTTTGAGGTCTTGTTTGCAAAATCATTTCGTCTTCTTTCTTAACTCCAACATATTATATAAAATTAAACCCTGTTCAAAGTACGAGTCTAGCTCACCATCTAGCTCACAGGCACGACCTTGCAGGTTCAACGCAGAGTCCTGCATATAATGATTAATTGCAGTTTGCAGACATAATAGGACGGCAAAACTTAGGACAGTTAACGTAGTGGTTGATGCCGAAGTTGATTGGAAAGACATTTAGCAGGATCTTCAATGCGTAATTACATGCAATGTCACCATAATGAAATCAGAAAGTACTATTTATTCGAGTATCGAAATATTTATGTGCCCGAAAATTGTTATAAACTTCTTTCCGGAAAGTTGTACACCAAGGATTAGCCAAGGTAATAACTGAAAGAGGGAGGAAATGTATTCATAAGCTTATGATCGGCAGCAGACAGAAAAGATGAAATGAAAACGAGACAGCCTGTTTCGATAATTCTCATTACCAACACAAGACTGACATCATGAAGAAGCCTCCGTAACTGAAACAGCTTTGTTTTTGTTTCTGATTGTCATGTTATTTAGCTTTTCTGGAGTCCTCATACTCTTTCTGATATCTGGGCCAGAGCAAGCATCAAGTTCGATATCAGATCCTTCCATGGTCAAGACTTGAGATCACTGCTTGTCCCTGGTAGTAGGTGCCTGTGAATCAGGTTCAAAGGCTGCTAGGTTTGTGATCTTCAGAGGCATCTCATGGTTATGTTTTCCTTCATATGTTGTAATAAAAGCTCTTGGATCATCTGATACTCTTTCCACATGCTTGCGAACATTGCATTTGATACTGGTACATCTATAGTAACTCCTGCAAGATGGTTTTTAATGTGCTGTGAGCAAAATTCGAGGAAAGTATCAGACTGGAAAAATGCAACAAGTCCATGGATATACTAGAAAACATAAGGAGGGTCTGTTAACCTCAATCAAAGAGATTAGGAGGTGACTAATCATCCAGAAGCAACCTAACTGTAGCAGTGGCATGATGTCCCTATATCCTAATGCGAATATGTGTGGGATTGGTCAAATATTATGAAAACAACCAAAAACGTTTGTCTTCCAGAGGTTTTTGAAGGCCATATTAGAATCAGAGATGAAGAAGATCAGCTTGCAATATACATCTCAAACAAGTCATTAGGTCTCAACCTGGGATATGGATTCCCCTTCACAATCTTCTGCCCATATTTTCTCCATCGAAAACCATCCCCCAAAATTTCGGAATCTGTGGAGCTTTGCACCACTACACGGGGCTCTTGTACTCCCTCCCCTGACATGCCACCTTCAGTGGATTGTATCTCAGTTTTCCTATAAGAAGAGAGAGTATTTCCATTACATAAGAATGAAGAGAATAATTTCAAGGGTGACGTATGTTGTAAAATTAAACAGGCATCATCAGGTCATGGAAAAAGCTTATTGAATTTGTTGTAGTGAGGTAAGGGTGTGAAGGGTGGGAGGAAGAAGCAAAGGTAAGTTGGCACAAAACCGACTTGGATTATTTCTTTCGATGATCCAATTTAGCACAAAACAACACAGTGATAGTGAATTATTTTCTTTTTAATGGTGAAGTGAACGCTTATAGTAGCTGATTTTCAAATCTATTCACGAGTAGCTTATCTCTTACCTTCTTTTACTTTTAGGTTCATCAGTGGCTCCCTCCAATCCCTTGCTTCCACCATCACATTCCCCGCTGACACCACCTGAGTTATCAGGAGTTCCCGTACCAGCATTAATTGTGCCGGTTCCAGCAGGATCATAAGATGGTGGAGCTTTACCCTGATAAATTGAATGCACTGGTAATCCAATTTCATTCTGATTTTCTTCTCTACCTTCAGAGCCTTCATTTCTTTCATTGAGTTGATTACTCCATAATGGGGTGCTGTTCCTATCTGAAGCATTGCCATCAGATAGTCCTTGTGTTACTGATGAGTTGCGCTTTGGAGGCTGGGGCTTTGAATGGTTGTGTTCCCCTTTGTAGACAATTTCTGCAATCTGCCCGTCAAATGATCTTTCGACCTTCTTTTTCACTGGACAGTTTGGATAGGTGCACTTGTAGTAGCTCCGTGGATATTCACTTCCTTTTACTTGCTTTTGTCCGTATTTCCTCCAATTATAACCATCATACGAAGGTCGGTCCCCATTAGATGCATTAGATAAAGTTTTTGGATCCTCCTCCTGGTTCAGAGATGTTAACCTTAAGGGTTCAGTTGCGTGGTCTGCTTCTGCATGGGATGGAATATTCTGATGAAGATTTGAGGTAAGCTGGGAAGAGAAATTGTGTTTATCTTGTTTTGAAAGCGGAGGACGAGTCTCAACTGGTTGTAACATTTGTTGTGAATTAGGATTGAAGTTTCCCTAGTCAAAAGAAACTCTTGCATTAGTGTCTGACCAAAAAAAAATAAATACAAACAGCAGTTGCTAGACTACCATGGCAGAAGAAGTTAAAAATGGGTAGAATTTTGCTACTGACCATATTCGCCAGTAGAGAAACAGTTGCTTTCGACACAAGCTTTGCCTGTGGTTTATATATGATAGTGGCTTTGCTATCAGTACCTGAAACTTTATTAAACGAATTGCTAACTGCTGTTCCAGAGAGTTCAGCCTGAAAGTGTCCGAGAACATCAAGTTCAGAAGGCAAGAATTCATAATGGAAAAGGGCATTCAGAAGAGCTATGTGATCACCTGGGAAGAAACCAGTGCACCTGGAGCACGATTCACCACTGGCCTGAACCTCACTGTTTTTGGTCTAATGGCAGCAACTGCTGTTCCAGAACAAACATTAGAGGGTGTGGTATTGATGGCACCCGCAAGCAACTCTGAGAAAGACGTAAAATTTGAGTAACTAGGCCTGGAAGCTACTGGTTTAGCTATAACCACCCTCTCTGATTCCTTGATCTCCATTTTCAATAAATATCTGGAATGTCAATTATAATTTACAGGCAAACGTGTAAGCAACAGCCATTTCAACATCGAGGGAAACTTGGAAGTCCTATCTTCTTAAACCTCAACTCACATTCAACTGAATGCCAGCAGAACGTAGTAAGGCCGCAGAGATGGTAACATGATTTGGAGACACTCAGGAAAGCACTACTTCTGTTTGTTTGAGATGGCTTCAGCCTCGCTAACTTCTCAGACCTGCATTATACTGAGATTATATTGATGGCAAATATAATTTGATGACTAAATTTACAAGTAGGTAGAATAGACCTATGCCATAAATAGCATAACAACAACAAAAAAATCATCATCCATGACTCATTGTGCACTATCTCAATATAATAGCATTGAACCGAAGACACTTGCTCTCATTTCATATATTAATGAAGTATTCTATAATCCGTCTTGTTTATTCTTTACGAAAGGAGAAAAAATGTTAAAAGGTGCAAAGTAAGTACAAACAAGTCCCAGGAACATCTCTCTGCAACTTCCAGTTATTCATTTCTATTACTGATGTTTTATGCGAGTGGAAAGTAAGGTAAAACATTGGACTAATTTCCCAAACAACTCCATCACGAATGATTCAACTTCTTCCAATTTTGGGAATATAGAAATCGTCTTCTAGAAAAAGTTAAACCTTTCCAATTAAAACATGGATAGCTGATGCAACCATGGAAACATTTCCAAGAACACAAGTCCAATTAAAATTATGAGCGCTTTAAGTTGTTCCCGATGTACCTAATTTGATGGAAAATACAATTTGAAGAGGACCTCAGCAAGTAAAACATTGGAAAAAATCCAAGGAATACTCACAAAACAGAAACAAACAAAACAACCGTGAGTGGATGGGATGGGCAATATGAACACATTTGTTGAATGTAAAAGAATCTCTTAAAAACCACCTCTAAATGATGAGGTCTTGAATGAATCTTTGGTCTCTGGTTGCATAGAACAACTTGTTTCAGTCTCCACAATCTCAGAACTTACTTGTGAGCAATGCTTTCCATCATCGTGAAGAAAAACTTAAAATTTTGCTTTGACTGCCCAATTATTGTTGCGAATTCACTCACGACAGTTAGGCAAAAAATCACATCACACATCTACTATTGCGATTTCCCCTTGCAATCACTACTTACGGTTACCTAATATCCGCGAGAAGCTCAGGCTGTATCATTTGGTTACTTCTGATATTCCTCTAGTGACCATGAATCTTCATAATTACCTTCCTAAAACAATAAAAATTTGGGATATAGGCTGACGAAGCATAAGAAAACTTGGGATCTTCTCCATCAACATCTCATAAGCCTTTGAGCTCCCCAGCTTGCAAAATACATTCATGGGTGCACTTTTAATCTCTAGGCTCTCAAATTAGCCAAATCTATAACCAATTTTTATTATTGTTTTTTTAAGAAAAAGAATATTCAACAGAAAAGGAAAAAAGAACCCAGAAAGATAGGATCTTTTTTACAAGCACTAGCTCCCAAAAATTACAACAAAATTCAAGTATTGCAATGAAAGTGTCTATCTTTAAAAGTTCGTGGAACTACCACGAAAACCAGTATAGTTTTTAACATTAAATAAAACATTCTCCGTAATCTGAAAAAAGAACAAAGGGCTGTAGAAAAGGTTCAAAGACCGGAAATGTTAAGAAGAGAGAGAACACGAACACGAACCATAGACAGGTTTTAGCTAAAAGAAGGCAGAAAAGAGCAAGAGTTAGTGGAAACTAACCAGAATGGATACAAGTAAGAAACTAGTAAGGAGTTTCAATGCTTCCGCAAGATCTCATTTACTACTATCTCAGTTTACAACACTAATCAATCTATCACCTACATTTGCAGAACCAAGAAGTTCGTGAGAAAATCACCAAACTTTTAACAAAGAAACTGAACAACGTGACACAGAATGAGAGAACTTGACCTTGGAGACGAGAAATCCTTGACTCAATTCAACAGATGATATGTGATTCTTTCAGACTTGAATTATTGGAGATATATGACATAATCACCAGCTTGTCTTTTTACACTACTGCCTTTTTTTTTTCCAGCTAAAAAAAACCTACAAAAAAAAGAAAAAAAGAAGCATTCTTTCTAGTTTTTGAATGAGTGATAAGGTAGTTGGACACAATGAACAGTTCCCATGTTAAAAAGCCATGAGAGAGAGAGAGAGAGCGAGAGAGGGTATGCGTTGTCTTAAATGGTTCTGCAAGTAAACTGTATGGCCATATTTGCGCATTGGGCATGATAAGAAAAGGTTGCAGGAAGAAGAATAAGGGAAAATCTCAACTAACTCTTTTATTATTTATTTATTTTACGTGAATATAGTTTTTTTTATACAACATTTAGTATTATTATTATTATATTATTTATTATAATAGTGCATTAATTAAAAAGAAACTAAAAGGAATCCTAGTAAAGCATTTATTCTTGTGTACATGTATTTATTTTTATTTTGAATTAAAACAATGAAATGATAATTTTATCTCTGCGAACATAATATAATTAATATAATTGACATTGAAAGCGGGGAATAATATATATTTTCTTTTTTGTTATTTGCACGGTGAAAGTATTAATATGCTCTTGGAAGCAGAAATTTCAGCATGGAAAGGTGCGGCTACTTTTGACTTTTTCATTTTAACTACACAATAAAATCACCTCAATGTTTTTTAATTAGAATTGTTTTTATCATGGTTAAGGTGTTTTTGTTATTTTATTTTTTTAATTAAAATTTTTTAAAAATTTATAATTTAGTATTTTTTTATCTTTTTATTTTTAGTATAAATAGATTTTTAAAAAGTTATATTTTAGTATTTTTTATCTTTTTATTTTTAGTATAAATAAATATTTTTAATTTAACAAAAATAATTTCTATTATTTTTGGACAGCACATTCAACCCTATTCGGTGACCATATTTTGACTTTTATAATTACATTTCAATTCTTATGATATTGTTTTTATCCCTAGATGTTATGTGTGAAAATAAATATGTCAAGTTTTGTGTTGATGGTTGTTTTTTTCCTCTCTTCTCCTTGGTTTTAGGGCAACCCCTACCCTTATGTATTTTTAAAGAAACTCTTCAATTATTTTTTTTTTATATTTGTTTCATATTTTTTTATTATTTATTTTATTTTATTTATAAAATTATAATTTTCTTTCAATCTAATCTTTCTTTGGTTTTTTTCACCTTTTAAATTTGATTTCTGTTCTTTTTATTTATATTTTTTTAATTATTATCTTTTTAATTGCATCCTTCAGTATTTTATATTATTTTTTAATTAGATTTTTTTTTAATTGCATCCCACAATATTTTAGTTTTATTTTTTAGGTTAGATTTGGTGTTTATTTTTTAATTGTTATTTATTTTGTTTTTAATCCTTTTTTATTGAAACTTTCTTTTCCAATATCATCTTTCAATATTTTATTGATCAAGATTTTATTAATTTTTTGATTTATAGATTTAAAATATTGAACCTATTTGATTTAAATTTTTTTCAGGTTTCTTTTTACAAATGATTTTTGCCACACCATCATTCTATAAGGTACCACGATCTTATATATCTAAACGTGAATTTTGTATGTTAACCTAGTTTTAATGGACACAATATTTTATAAAAAAAATTACTTGTTGTTGGTGTTAGATTTTTTATTATACTATCAAAATTAATTAAGATTTAATCTGACTATCAAGTTTTTTCATTTCTTTAAAACACACAATTGTCCCTTTTCTCTTTGTTTTTGGCTTGAAAATTTTCTAAAATGGCACATTGTATTGCGGGGGGTCACTAATTTAATATTTCTCTATTCTGTATTCAAATTGTATTTGTTTTTGTAATCTAACCATGTTTTTTAAAAATTAAAAAAAAATCAAATTAATTTTTTGATATTTGATATCTTTTTAATGTGTTAATATTAAAAATAAAATTTAAAAACTAAAAAATTATTATTTTAATTCTTTTAAAATAAAAAAATAAAAACAACCTTCCCCTCGAAATACTCTTAGCATTATGGATTTGTCTTGTGGGAATTTGATTGGTTATTTGTTTATGGATTATTTTAAAATTAGGAGCGCTTTGTAAGGTTAGAGAGAGGCTCTCCATGGATCGTCATGAGTACTATTAGACAAGGGATGGTACGGCCAACTAACTGTCTGAATTCTGCTTTGACCTGTACCTCCTAATATAATTTGCATGACCCACTTTCACCTCTGGAGCGTGTACCCCACTTCTTGGTGATCTGGCCGGTTATCAGGAGGGCACTTGGCTAAACTCCAATCCACTGAAAACCTTATCACCGCCAGATGGGGCACTGCCCAACTAGTTATATTTTGACACCCCATGTCTATCGCAATGGGCCCCCCGCCTCTTAATGATCCAATTTTAAGAGTTGAAAAGGACTCCTTCCCCACCATTCTACGTCATGAAAGGACAAAATAGTCAATGAGCAGGCTATCAATAATTTTGAACTTTTTTGGCAGCAAGGTTGGTGCGTGTTTGTTAAAAATTTATTTTTGTATTTAATTTTTTTTTTAAGTCATTAGGTTTTTTTAAAAAAATAATATTGAGCATAACTTGGATGATAATATAAGATATTTACTTAAAGAAAGAGTTTTAATTATATTTTATGAAAAAAAATTGCCACCATTTAATAAAAAATTCTAAATACAAAATAGAAATAGCTCAAAACCTTATTTGTTAGATATATATAAAAAAATAATAAAAATGTATTTTATAAATATTTTGAAAAACTTCGTCTGTAATCTTAGCCAGGAATCCGAGGCTTGGATGCAGCAACGGCGGCCCCTACGCACTCCCTGTTCGCAGCTTACGCTTCCTCCAATGATGCATCATTTTGTTGGGTTTGTAGATATTTTGCATTTTTAAAGTATTTTAAAAAAAATTAAATTTTTTTAATTTAAATTAATATGTTTTGTTTTTAAATTATTTAATGGGTTGATATGAAAAATAATTTTTAAAAAAATAAAAAAAAATATTAATACATATTTTAAAATAAAAAATTATTTAAAAAATAATTACAAAAACACTGTAGTGCACACTTTAAGAAATGGGCACAAAGCTATAATTTGTATGCAAAATATTCAATAGAAAACACTGCAATGCACACTTTAAGAAATGGGCACAAGGTTATAATTTGTATGCAAAATATTCAATAGAAAATGGTAAGCTTTATTTTGATCCGACCATTATCTTTGAAAAATATATGCTGTACGTGGCAATTGAAATCAACGTGCGTGAGTCATTTCTATATATAATTATATTAGAGTTTATTTGAAATGATTTTTAAATTATTACTTTTGATTTCAAATATAAATAACTTGGGATAAAAATAAGCAAATAAAATTTTAAATTAGAAGTATGTTTGATAAAAATGATTCAAAGCAACTTTCTTAAGGAAAAAAATGTAGTCTATCTAGGTTATAATTCATAAATTAAAAGTTAGGATTTTCATCTCTTTTTTTCTAATTAAATCAATGTAAATCAAGAGTAAAAGTACAACTTAAATCAATTTACAAAAATCAAACCAAATATAATCTTAATCATTAGATAAATATGCTTCAAGGTGTGAACTCTAAGTGAAATATTGTTCATAAACAAAATATTTCCTCTAGGTCAAAGAGATTGCTTGCTTTCTATTTTTGTTTATTTCAAAATGATTTGTCTTGGTCACCATATATATATATAATGTATTTTTTTCTCCACAATATCTCTACTTAGAGCTAATTTTGCGAGATACCTTCGATTGAAATAAGGCTACATTACCTTATTTTTAATGTACATAACAACTCAATACAATCTCACCCCCTCCATGAAGAAAAGAAAAATCGGAAGATGTAGAAGGAAGCTAATTAAATTCCCAAGTAAATTTGGATTTTGGTGGATCGGATATGTTTACCAACCAATTATATTTGAAGTCACTTCATTTAACTCGGTGGGCTCCTAGCTAGCTAGTCATGTCTTCGATCCCTAAACAAAGCAACTTCCTTTTATGATCCTTTGCTTTTGGTGATACGATGACTAAGGGGTAAATGCTCTTCGTGATAGGATGACTAAGGGGTAAATGCTTTGGTGATAGGATGACTAGGGGGTAAATTGCGCAATTAACACAAAAAAAAAATATGGATAAATGATGAAATGGCATAGGACAAAGATAGTATAGTTTGAAAATGTTGCTGTTATTTAGTTAAGTATCTCCGGGATATCAATTAGTAAACTATTTTGATTGACATTTCAGAAAACGATCTGATTATTTTGGCTATTTTAGAGAGGTTTTTATGCTTTTTTAACTTGGAAAAATTTATAAAATTATAGTTTTTATTAATCTAGAATTTAATTTACCTTATAATTCTAGAGAGTTAAAATTTTTACCATTTTAATAAAATTTGGATAAAATTTTTTTATATAAAAACTATACTTCAAATTTTATCTTTTTTTATTTTAAAAAATTAAGTTTAGAATAAGTTCTTTGATTTGGGATGACACTTAAATTTTAATTAAAGTTATGTTTTAGAAGCACGACATGGTCAATTTATATTATTTTACTAAAGTTTTTTCAAACAATGTCATTTTCCCCTGAAATTTCAAGTTTTTTTAAATAAAAATTTATCATAATTTTAAAAGCAGGATTTAATGATAATAATAATAATAAATTGATAATTTTGACATGAATGTTTTTTAAAAGAATATAATAATAATAAACTTGATAGAAATTATATAAACATCTTACTTTGACATTCTAAAAAACAAATATTTTTTTGCATTTAGAAAATTATAAATATTGGATACATATATAATTATTGAAAACAATTCTTACTATTAACATGGAAGATGCTAATATTATTTACAACTAATGAAATAATACATAATTGGATAATCATTTAAGCACTATCTAATTAATAAATTTATTTAAAAATAATTCGATTCTAAAATAGCAAAAGATATAAGAAAAAAAAACAATGAGATAAAAAATTTATAGGGCCAATTGCACCTATTTTTCTTTGTGTTTTTCATCCCAAAGCATTTTTTAAAACACCTAATATATTTTTTAAAAAATAAAAACTTGGTGGACACATCACTTTCTTGAATAGACAACTTGTTATTTATTTGTCATATGTTCATTAGAGATGGCTTATGTGATTG